TGGTATAATTTGGGAGCCAGTTATACTTTGGTATAATTTGGGAAGCGATTAAAGTTTGGTTAAATAATTAAGATCAGAAATATTCGTCCAGATAACTGGCTGGTTGCCATTTTCATTTCTTCAAACTTATAAAATGCTGCAGTCAGTGAAAAAAACGTGTATGATTCATTGTAGGTTTTGCTATACAGTATGTTCATTATAATGTAGTAGCTAGTGAACTAAAATGTTTAAATACTCAAATGAGAATAGAAGGGTATTGATTTATTTGTTTAGAATGTATGTATACTCAGAAATATATATATATGGGGCAAAGAAGTAATTCCAACAGTGTGCACCTCTTTGCCCCTTATACTATTTTAAGTAATTCGTATCCTACGGACATACCTCCATTAGGATCCAGTGTTATATGGAATTGTACCGTCTATATTACTTCTTTGACCCAGACATATATATATATATGTATGGTAATCGTAATGCTACAATTACTTAACAAGTCATGGCTAATTGAGCACTCCGAATAATTATACATATTTTATTGCTTTGACTGCACAGAAACTAAAGACTTGGACTTAAAATGCCCAAGGTCTCTGCTAAAAACCTGGGGAGAAGTTTCTTTGAAGAAACTATAATAGCTAAAGCAATTATAATGTTAAATATGTTGTTCATGTAATTTATATATACCCCTCACTTAGGTGATTGTAAATTCGTTGTTTGTGTATGTGCATACGCATGCCTTCAATTGTGTCTGTCTAAAGGAAAGGCTTGTGTACAAGATAGCTTGTAAATCCCACAACCAAAATTGGCACGGTAGCCTAATGGTAGGAAGCCAGGCTCATGACAGAAGGGTTGTGGGTTCGAGTCATGTCACGGCACTGTGTATGTATCTTTGAACAAGATATGTATACTTTACTCTGCTTGTTCCAGTCTACTCAGCTGTAAATGAGTATGTGATTGGGTTAGTGCTGGAATTGTTAAATGCTAGCAATGAGCTCCTAAATGGTAGCACCGGCTGTATGCTCCCAAAGAGGGCTGAGGAAGATAATGTCTGGTTGCAAAGGACTAATAACCATGGATAATAATTTGAGAACGGCTTTGAGACGACCTAAGACCAAGGTTGTCATAAAGCTGTTCATAAGGACCTTGAAGTTTTATCATTATTAATTAATTTGTATTTGCATCACAGTATCATGCTACATCAAGGCAGTTCAACACATTTTAAAATTTGTTAGACATTGGTAAAGGTCAAAAGGTCACACTTGACCAATTTTGGAGTGAAAAAGCTTGAGCGCAAGATATCTAATTGCAACAATGGAAGTACATGTAGCTTACCCAACCAAATGCAGGATTACTACCAAGCCATATTTGCCCTTGTGCCCAACCTGTCTATTACACCATACTGCGATGCTTCACGAAACAGTATAGGATTACATAGTGCCATATGTGTCTCGTTAGGGCTGTTTCCCAACACGTTCTACGTATATATACCTAACCAAGGTACACCCACTACCTCATTAGTCTCCAGGATTAGATATTTAATCAATACCTGATAATAGAATTCTGAAAAGCAATAATGTTTGTGTTTCTATAGGGACTAACTAATATATATGATACAGATTGATATTCTTGTACAAATGTCGGTTTTATTAATTACCTGTAATAAACTGATGCTATTTTTAAGTCCATGTGGACGTAAAATAGGTTCCATAACTGCCAGTCGATCTGTTCTCAGGGTTGAATTCACCTGTATCATGATTGATTGAAACATTTAGTGATCACTGATGCATTTGAAAGTAAAAGCAAATTAAAAGTAGCTACATATATAAGTCATAGAAAATGGGTCCTGGTAACTGTTGTGTTGTTGATACAGACTTTTGACAAACATGTCACCTATACTTTGAAAAAACCTAAAATTCAACTTTCCATAACGACTAGTAACACTGGACTCTACACAGATACTATGTATAGAGAATAGTTCTTGTTAGGGCCCCGTATCGGAGATACGGGTGCCCTATAGTAATCACTCTGTCTGTCTGTCTGTCTGTCCACAAATTCTGTTCCTGGCTGATAACTTTGGTATTTATTGACCGATGAACATGAAACTTGGTCAAGATGTTCAGTTCACAGAAATACACATTGAGGTAAAAAATCAAGGTCAAAGGTCAAGGTCATTAGGTTCAAAGGTCAAGGTCAAATTTTACATCTTTTCACTGATGAACATTTTGTTATGACATCATGAAGCAAAGTTGATCAGAATTGAACAAAGAGTCAACTGAC